AGGTTTAAAGAGGGACATCTATTATTTTTAAAAAAATATATAAAGGGCAAATTAGTCTTTTAGGGGGGCGGTAAATATCGAAAAGGGGGCGGTGTTTAGCGGTTCACTTAATATTTATGGTATTTCACCTACCAGGCTTTGTTTGGCGAATAACGGATATCGGATTATATTAGCTGATTTGACTATTAATATTTATCGTATTTCACCTATTATATAGTTTGAGCATAGAAATAGTCATAATTTAAACGAGCTAGTAATATGCACATATGCCCAACAAGTTCGAGAGGTTCTTTCTTTTTCGAGTCGTGTTCGGGGTGCGCTAGACGAGTGCCAGAAGGTTGGTGCGTGTGCTCGGCGTGAAATGAGGTGGCTTTCTTGGTCCGCTCCGCCGGAAGGAGTTTTGAAGATTAATACGGATGGCAGCTTTGTTCCGGCTATGGGGATGGCTAGCGCAGGGGGTGTTGTGCGAGACCATCGTGGGGCCTGGATTAGTGGTTTTACAATGAATATTGGGTTTTGCTCTATTGTGGGGGCCGAACTATGGGGTTTGTTCCAGGGATTGCACCTAGCATGGGATATTGGTGCTCGTAAAGTTGTGGCGGAGGTTGATAACAAGAGTATTATCGATATGGTTAATGATGGGGAGTCCACCGGGCCACATGGAGGTCTTATTAGGGGTATTAACGGATTAATGGCTCGCCCGTGGAAAGTCGAGATTATTCACGGTCACCGTGAGACAAACTTTGTGGCGGATTTTTTGGCCTCTCTAGCGGCCAAGGGAGTAGGTGGCTTGCAGCGGTTTGATCGGCCTCCTTTGGGAGCGGGCTCTTGGTTACACCATGATATTATTGGCGTGGCTCACCCACGTCGGATTGTGATCGAGCGTTAGCTTTAGCTTCGCTCTCCTTTTCTCGTACCAAAAAAAAAGTTAAAAAATTATATATGAAAATTTGAATTTAACATAACTTTAAATAAGTTTAAGTAATTATAGGTTAGTTGCAATAAAAAATAATATAATTCAAAATTGTATAAAATAATTAACGTAAAGTAAATGGTTCTCGTCATAATAGAAATGTTCTCCTACCCACGGTGGACACATATTAATATGTCCACCGTGTTGGTGGCATGCACTCATTGGTAATGGTAATATGTTTAAAAAAATACATCACCAATGAGTGTATGCCACCTACGCGGTGGACATATTAACATGTACCCACCGTGGGTAGGTGAGCATTTCTCCTCGTCATAAATAAAAGTGAAGAACAATTTTAAAACATTGTTCTATTTTTTTTTTTAAAAAAAAACTTATAATATATAACAAAAACATAAGTAAAAAACCAAATAGGCTTGCGAAGTGCAAACAAACCAAATAGATTATGTTTGGTAATCAAACAGGCTAACTTAAACTTTAATTGATTAATTTATAAGTTTTATATATTTAAATAAGATTTGTTTGGTGGAACGAACTTTTTGAAAAAGCTCGAACTTATCTCATAAACTTGTTTAGGTAAATTTTCAAATAAGCTCGAAGCTCAAGAGTCACTTATAAGCTATCAAACATAGTTTTTAAACCCGACCCCCCCGATAAGGTCTACAGGTCATCGGATCACCAGTTCAATCGTCGGGTAACCGAGTCAATTGCTGAATCGGATAATTAATTTAAAATTTTTAAAATTATATATAGAGTATTTTTGTCATATAACTATACATAAAAGTAACAAAATTAAATATTTAGTGTATAAAATTTGTATATTAAAGTGTTACTAAAATATATCTCATGATAATATTGTAAATATAAACATATACATAAAGTTTTATTTTGAAGAAAAAAAAAAAATTTAAAAAATATATAGGTCGGGTCAATGCACCGGGTCAAGGCCGGTTTGGCCGGGTCTTGACCGAGTTTGACCGGGTCCTTTGTTTACCGGTCCAATTAAATAGCCCTCTCAAACCAGTTCCGGCTCCGAGTCAACCGGGTCCCGGGTCGATCCGTCGGGCCAATCCAAGTCAAAAAAACTATGCTATCAACTATTTTTATCATAGCTTTAATCAACACTTTTCTAACAAGTTCAAACTAAACATTCTACGTAAAAAAACACTCAAATTTAAATAACCGACAAATAAATGACTTAGCACTGTAAGAACATCTTTGGATATGAAAATTTTTGGTTTTGTTGGATTTTTTGGTTTGGTTTGGTTAATTTTGAAAAATGCAGTATGATTAATTGTTAGTGGGTATATTACAATAATATTTAAAATAAAATAATTAAAAATTTGATGTGATTGTTAGTTAAAATAATGTGAGTGGATGAATAGTGAATTAAAGTTGATGTGATGTGTGTAAATGATTGGTTGATATTATTTTATTATATTGATAATATTGATGACAGTGAGGTTGAGTTAAAGTTGAGTTAAAAAAAGTGGTTGAGTTAAAATGTTGGAATTTTTTTGTGAGAATTCTTGTATACAAACATGCTCTAAGAGTCAGCTATTTAACATCTCTCACTAAAAAAATGGTCATATTTCAACATAAAAATCTAAAAGTAATATATTCCAACAAAAATTATGAGTATTGAAATAGTATAATTTCCAGTGAATGATTCCACGGGTGTATATTCTTATGAAAATATTAGGTTAGAATAAATTCTTTCATTGGAATTGATGATTCCAACAATAATTTTTTCAACGGTTATTATCATTGGGATATCCAATTTTCGTTGGAGTTTTTATCTCCACTCATCTAGCAACAAGATGGAATATCTATCGTTAGAATCGTCAAAATCTAAGAAAAAATTCAATAGAAAATTTATTCCCAAAATAGTAATTCATTGGAATTATCATTTGAATCCATTGGAAAATTCTAACAAAGATAATATAATTGTAATATCTATTGAAATTGTCGTTGGATTTTTCTTTTTATATAAATATTCCAGTGTGGGATGGGGGGTTGAGGCTACACCCCCGACCTGTGAATATAATGGCCCAGTGAGGGCTAAAAAGTCAATGGTCTACATCAATGTCAAAGATACATATAGCAACATCAAAAGCAGAAAAACAAAAAAAAAGTACAAGGGTCACAGAAAATCCGATGTGGATCTAAAATCAAAGCCTCATAAAGGTCATCCTGGTCAGAGTGACCTGACATGAGGTCCAAAACGACAAGTCTAGTCAGGGTCAGGTGGTAGCGGTCGTTCGAATCTGAAGGATGGGTACTCTAGCTGGTCCATCCGAATGAGTGTCCGAAGCCGGAGGGGAATGTCCTCAAGATGAAGGATGCGTCTCTGGGGTATAGAAGCCCCCGTGTTAGCAAGGAAATCAGCGGGCCGATTCCCCTCTCGGAATATGTGTGAGACCTGGTAATGAATCTATCGTAGGGTGTCTCTGATGCGTATAAGGGGATGTTGGATCTGCCATGAGCCCTGGTGGCCAGATGTCAAAAGTGTGATGACAGTTGCAACATCCATCTCTATCCAACTGCCGTTGGAATTGTATTGAAATATTTTTTTCATTGGAATTTCATCATTTACTTTGTAGTGTCTAGTCCAAATTTATATTTTTATTATTTTATATATTTATTGCACATTGACTATTCATTTGATATAATGTAATTAAAAAAAATACTCTTAAATTAAACAATTAATAATTAAATTAATCCATACTTACTTTTCAAGGAAGGTATATTACATATTAGCAAAGAAAATAGTGAGCCTTGAAACACGGATGCTTTAATGCATTGATTGGTGATTAAAAAAAAAAAAGGGTATTTGTCAATTAAGTCAAAACCTTCAAAGCAAATGGGGCACTAATCAAACACAAAAGGAACTTCAAATCATTCTTAAAGTAAAAGCAGTTGTTTTTATCAATCGTGGAGATTCTTCATACTACAACTACCTATAATAAGTATTTACCAACTTCAATTCTTAGTCAAATGTACATTTAATACACTATTGGAGGAGGTGACTATAGGTAGGGGCCTTTTTATATAGTTACACGAAGTTATGAAGTTAGGAAAATACTACAGTCCCGTCACGAAATGGTTTCGTGAGGAAATTTGGTCAGGGATTGTCTAAAATAACTAACTCACGTGTATATCTAAAGACTAAAATCTCTCACGGAACCATTCCATAATTGTAGTATTTTCCTATAAGTTAATTTGTTTACAATAAATTCGATCTTACTAGTCAGTGTCGTACATTTATTGTCTATTTTAATTTATCATTGAATTAACACAAACGTATTGTGGAGTTGTGGATATAACGTAAAATATCGGATGATGACAGTTCCTTCACCGATATATAGGATCGAATTTGTTAACAAAATGCAAAATTCTAAATTTTAGTTATTTATTTACATTTACTTCCCAAAAGAAAAAAAAAAAAGGAATAATACACTAAATTAGATTTCTAGAAAAGTCAAGTTATTGGGGTTTAATTTTATTTTTCCTCACTAAATTGGTATCTTTCTGAAAATTTTATTCCGAACATGCATGATTTCTCATAGTAATTTAAGAAATTTGCTTACCTTCTAAGTTACCATTGTGAATTATTTCCCAATCAAAGTAGGGAAAATGATACCCTTCCAGTCTGTTATAAAAATATTTTTCCCATAGTTTTCCAACTAAAAAGGTAAAATTTCAGAAATAATAATAATAATAATAATAATAATAATAATAAAAAAAAAATAATAATAATAATAATAACGATGATGATAATAAAAATCATCATAATAATAATTTGTATATTATAACTAGAAGGCCTAATTTCGATTTTTTTTTTTAATTTTTTAAGATAGTCTAATTTTTCTCTATATCCCAATATTTATTTTGCCACTATTTTTAACAAATATTGGTAAAATATTTTCATTAAGTTATGTTTTTTTTTTTTCTTCCATAATTGGCAGTTAATACATAATTCTAACATTATTCAATATTTTATGCAGGAATAGGAAGAGTACAGAAAAAAATAGGGTCCTGCAAGTTTATGTAACACAAAAGCTTAAATGATTAATGCGCATACAACAAATGTGAACTGATTAAACATTATTTCAATGTATGTAGTAAGATATAAAGTACACAAAAACATTGGCCAATTTTGCAAATATCAAATGTTTTTATTATCTGCTAGCTAGTACATGAGAGTAGAATGTAAGATTTGTCTATAGTACTAATAACTAATAACTATACAATGTACAACAAGAGAGATTCTACGGTCACATCACGGGACCATTTCGTTAGAGTTTGTAACCATTAGATCAACTATGCACGACGATTACATTATGATCTAACGATTATGAATCCCGACGGCAGTTCCATGAGGACTATAGCGTTTCCCGTACAACAATTCTTATTCAACCGATTGATTATAGTATTGGCATCACACTTTCTGTTGTTCCTGTTACTTGGCACTCCTTTAAACGAGTGACACGTGTATTTATGAAAATTTTTTATTTTTTTTCATATATTTATATTTTTTTTATTTAAAGTACACGCGTAATCTCACAAGAGTGGAAAAAGTTTTTTTTTTTTTTTTTTTTTTTTAAAAAATTTGATTCCGAATAGTAATTCACACAATAGAGCAGGATCTCACCCCTCAGAGTCTCAGACTCAGAAAGGATCTCTCGTCTCTCTTGTGATCATTTTAAAGACCTCCTGAAAAATCAAGAAAAATAAACATTACTACAATTATTATTATTATTATTATTATTATTATTATTATTATTATTATTATTATTATTATTATTATTCATGAAAATTTGATCAAACAACCAAATAACTTTATTTACATAATAGGTTTGTGATCCTTTTATTTCATTTGGTATACAGGGAAATGCTAAAGTCCCGTTACGGAACCATTCCGTCAGGATTTGTAATCATTAGATCATCATTTAACCGTCAGAAATAATTGATCTAACGGTTACAAACCTTGACGGAATAATTTCATATCGGGACTGTAGCATCTTGTAAACAAAAGAGAATGGAATAAGTTTTTGTGACATATGAAAGTCAAAATTAAATTCTTTTCCTTATTCCATGGACAAGGCAAAGTTTACACCAAACCTCAATTTAAAAAAGAAAAATTG